CATGATAGATATTAATGATAAGAGTAAATTTATGGATGGAATTGGATATACGGAAATGGCTTTGGGGAATTATAATGTCATACTTGTTTGGTTTAATTATTTTTCCATTGCACTGCTTACTTTCACTGCATATGCTTTCTGTTTCTATTTTCATTTGGAAATACAAACAAAAAGTCCCCAATTTCTGTACAGCTATTGTTTGCTTTGTTATGTTCCAAGAACAGACATAGATATAAAATTTGGAATAAGAATTTACAAAGAAAACTTAATAAAGAATATTGAACCTGTCAATTTTATATTTCTAATAAACCAACAGATGCACACAGATTATGTGTAAATAACATAGAATGAACGTTACTCTGAATAAAGAGAGTGAGGCCATAATTCCACGTTTCAACTTTATTGTGTCCTTTCTATTTTTAGAATTTTCAGTTCATAAAATCATACTAAATCAGAGGTGGATCCAGGAATTTCTTAAAGGAAAGGCAAATGGGATATAAATTTTTTACAGGGTCCAAGGTCATACCCTTTCAAGAAAATGTATTTTGCTACATTTGTGCTTTCTTGATTCTGTCCATATTGATTTAACATTGCATACACAATTGCAATTACATTGCCTGCATACCATGCATCTTCTATAAAACTTCTTTAATAGTTATTAGCCAGTATTTTTAATGCCAAACATGAGGTGGTTTTGCCAATACTAACTCTAAGGCTCTGTCCAGATTATCAAATTTCCTTTGACCAAAAACTGTTGTATGCCCAAATATGGTCATGATGTGATGTCATCATGATTATATTTTAGGCATGTCACATGTCTTTGTCAAATAATATTTGATAGTCTGGACAGGGCTTAAGGAACTCTGTCACATCATCATTAACATTGCTTGCAGTGGTTTCTGCCATTAACAAATAGTAACAGTAGGTAAACAATGTTGTCATTTGTGTCCCCAGGCTTCTCCAACACACAACCCACTAAGCCACACAAGCAAACAACGCAATACACATGAATGGGATAAAATTGTCTTAGGCTCTGTAGTCGGCCGAAACCAGCCGTTACAGAAGTCACCTGGCGCGACAAATGATTTTTTATCTTATCAATAGCATCAATAATGGCTTGTATCACTTTTTTCGGAGTTTGTTTCATACTATCTTATGTCAAACTTATCGGTGAACCCCATGGTTTTTTCTCTTATATTCTGAGAAAGGGTGTTTTGTGTTCCCAAGCTTCTCCAACACACAAACCACTAAGCCACACAAGGAAACTACGCAACTACACATGAATGGGATAAAATTGTCATTTATTAAAAATGGTGAATAAAAGACGAAGATGCATACAAAATATTACGGAATTACGGAAATAGGGGGTCAGCAATCTCACAAAGTATATATGTTGTGTTAACTATTGGCTACAATACAATAGTATATAGATAGGTATTCACTTAAAAGTCTGGGTGAAATACGCCAAAAACCCATGTTACAGAAATATGGGTTGAAAGCCCAGACAAAATGAGGGAAGCAAGAGAAATATGGAAATATGACGAATGCAGAATTATATGGAGCCAAATGCTCGACATATAGGATAACATGAGTTTAGATATGGATGTGAGTGCCACGTACTGGTGTCTGAACAGGGTCAATGGTTGGGAACAATGCTTTGGCTTTCTCAAAGCGAAATCTGGACAGCAGATCCACCAGTTCATTCTCCTTCCTGGGTATATGTTTAGCCTTAAAAAGAATATTAAATCGTAAACAGGACAGAAATAACCGGCGTTAAAGTATAAGCAGAGAAGTCTTTTGCTGTCATCTTATTAATCGTCACGACAGCCTGATTGTCGGACCTGAACAGTATACGCTTGTTAGCTAAGACCGGGCCCCAAGTCTCGATAGCGAGCACTATAGGAAATAGTTCTTTTCAGGGACGTATCCAGTGGGAGCCGTGGCTCCCCCCCCCCCCTTTGTACACAGTGTTAAAATTTTAAAGCTTATTGTGTATAAGAGACAGATATTAAATCGTAAACAGGACAGAACTAACCGGCGTAAAAGTATAAGCAGAGAAGTCTTTTGCTGTCATCTTATTAATCGTCACGACAGCCTGATTGTCGGACCTGAACAGTATACGCTTGTTAGCTAAGACCGGGCCCCAAGTCTCGATAGCGAGCACTATAGGAAATAGTTCTTTTCAGGGACGTATCCAGGGGGAGCCGTGGGAGCCGTGGCTCCCCCCCCCCCTTTGTACACAGTGTTAAAATTTTAAAGCTTATTCTTGAGCCAATACAAATTCTTTCCTGGGATCACTCAAAATGAATACTTCTAAACATGTAAATATGCATCAGTACACGTTATACATAGGCATAATAGAACACATAGGCCTAAGCGTGATTTAAAAAAATCTTAAATCCATAAATCTCAGGCCAGGTCTTTTAAGATAGAAATGCGATACTATGGTTCAATTTCGTTTTTATCCTTTTGTAAGTTTCTTTAAATGTTTGTTTAATAATACTACTAATAGTAATAATAATAATAATAACAATGATGATGATGACAATAGTAATAATTGATATTAATATTAATAACAATAAAAAGTGAAGAAATTGTGCTAAATGCGAAAAAAAAAGTTGTGATTTGTTGATCATACTATAGTATATATAGTTAAAGCTTAGTAAGTTATAATTAGGCCTAAGTTGTCTTGGATATTAAGTAGATTCCTGATAAAAGATCATGAGAAATTTGTTGGCGTTTCATTTTGACTATAATGGTAATGTGATGATGATGAATTTTACTATATAAAAGTGTCATTTCCGGCCATCTCGAGAGGTACTATTTCCTCAAATGTTCTCACCTCAGCCCCAGCCATGGTGGGGCTGAGGTAGTTGGGAAATCACGTTTTTGAAGTAGGCCTATGTAAAGTACATACTCAAAGACAATGTTTTTAAGCTTTGTTTTCTATGGTATGCACACACACACACACATTAACAAGATCTCTATGGTTGTCAAAAATCCCTGATGAAAGATCATGAGAATTTTTTTGGCGCTTCATTTTGACTAATGGTGATGTGATGATGATGAATTTTAGTAAAAGTGTCATTTCTGGCCATCTAGAGGTACTTTTTCCTCAAATTTTCTCACCTCAGCTCCAATCATTGTGAGGCTGAGGTGGGTGTCGACTCACAAAATACCCTCCCCCTGCACCTTTCAAAACAGATCTGTGCCCCTCTCTGGGTATGACATTAAACTCCATCGAGTCGGCTCCTGATGTATGTCTTAGTTTTTAGGATGTGATCTGGATTTTCATGTCCATTTTTCGTGATTAGGCCTATGACTATTCTGGATAAAGAATGTTTTGAGCAGAGGTGGATTCAAGGCCCCCCCCCCTTTCATTTTTTTGAGGAAAAAAAAAGAAAAATATATTCAAATTGAAGTGCGAGAGTGTAATTTCCGGCCATCTAGAGATGCCCTACTCATAAATTTTCTTACCTCAGCCACAACCATGGTGGGGCTGAGGTGGGTGGTTCCTCGGTCTGTGAAAGTCCCTCCCTGGTTCACCTCTCTTTCGAATTCCTGGATCTGCCACTGTTGATTTATTATATAATCATTTTTGCACATATTTATAATGCGTCTATTGCAATTTTCACTTTATCCTCTCAAACAGTCCTAAGAACGTTCAGCAATGAAATATTAATTTCAATGTAATATAAGCCCGGGGCATTGAGGTTTTTGCACATGATGCGCAGAAAATAGCGGGCACTGTATCAAATTAATGCCCGCCTGGAAATAGTGAAGTCACATGCAAATTAAAAATGATGACATCACGACTGACTTATAAAATCATTTAGGACTAACAATTAATAATAGTTAGTATTAATTTTAATACACATAGGCCTACTTTAACACTAATAACTATTGAAATGTTTAGTAGAGTTATCTGTATACTGTACTGTACTAATGTAAAAATGAACTACAGCAAACCAAAGTAAACAGAAAAAGTATAATCAAATATAAGCATATAAATTATTTAAATCAACCCCCAACATGAATCATTTAGGACTAACAAGAACAGTTAATATTAATTTTAATACAAAAACTGTAGGCCAACTGTAACTTTAAATAACTATAAAAATGTTTACACTTCTATAGAAATGAAATGTCGGTAACCAAAGTAAAAAGAAAAGGTAGTATAAGATCCTAAATATAAGCATAGAATTAATTTTAATATTTAAACCTGATAATAAATATTTTTTTTAAATGTATCCCATCGGGATTAAAACCCAAGACTACCTGATTACCGTTTGGATGCTCTACCAACAGAGCTATGAGGCCAAGTGGCATACCTTAAATCCTTGTATAAGCACCACAGCGCTTATACAATTTTTGGAGGCTTCAGTGCAGCTCTTATTTTAGATTGGCACTTATTAAATAAATATTGCCGTAGCGCTTTTTTATTTCCGTTCCTATGTTACCTATCCTGTGTATTCCCATAGTTCAGTAGGCCTATAATAGGGCCAACATCATCGTAAATAAACGTTTATAAAGAAATGCTTGTGTCTTAAATTGTGTTATTTATTAATTTAAACACTGTATACATTGTATTTAAAACCTTGTTTCTCAAAGTGTTTCTTTACACACCGGGTAATATGTACTTAGCGGAAAAAAATCATGTTTTGTGCAGCACTTATTTGAGTGCAGCGCTAATTCAAAGATTTATGGTACACCCTTATATTTTCCAATTAGGACATGTTGAATAATAGTAAATCACATGGAATTTAATAAACCTCTAACTTGAAAATTTTATTTGATTTATATATATCAATATTTTTACAGTAAATGTGACATTTAATATGAAAAAAATATATATTTTTATTAAATTTAGTGGAGTGTGTTCAAATCCACTGCACCCGAACATGAAAGTTTTGTTTGATTTTATTTACATCAACATTGTCACAATACAGTACAATGATACAGTTTGAAAATCTATATATTTATTGGAGTTTGTCGGGCAGAATCGCATCCTATGCACTCCTTACAGACAACAAAGATAGTTGGGGGAGGGGAAGGGGGGGGGAAACAGATTATACTTTAATAACTAAATATTTTTATTGTTTTGTCACCTCGGTTTCCTACCGCAACTCTTCGTGGATGATATGAAATGATGGATATTCCCCATGGATCTTTGATTCCATCTTCTTTATCAATTCTTTTGATAAAATTTCCATCACTACTAAATAGCTGTATTTTGTGTTCACTTAATATAATAATGTTGTCATCCTGATCAACTACTACTCCACGTGGTTTCATCACTTTACCATTTTCATCACCTGCTCTGACAAGTACTTTTATGAACCGTCCCTCATTATCAAATAGTTGTAATCTGTTGTTGCATGAGTCTAATACAAGAACATTCCTTTGATTAGTAAGGCTAATGTCAATAACTCCTCTGACTTGACCTTCTTGATTACCCCAAGTCCCTATGCTCATGATCTTCTGCTCACTATCAATGTTGTATAGCAACACACTTGACGTAAATCCTACATACACAATATTTGATGCCTCATCCACATGGATACCATGTGGAATCATTTCTTCCTTACCAAAGGAATTGATCAGCTGACCATTCATATTACATATTGTAATGCTGTTATTACCCCAATCACTGAATACTATGTTTCCATTCTTCATTTTGTACATTCTGTAGACTTCCACACCTTGTGGTAGTGTAAGGTTACCAATATATTCTCCTGATTGCTTGTACATGAGTATTTCATTTTTCGAACATGACACCAACAAGCAATCATCTTCACACTTAAATACATCTCTAATGTTTTCTTGATGTCGTGTTTTAATGGTATTTACTAATCCTTCCTTCTCCACATTGATTACCATTGGTGACTGCTTGATTGGTTCACCATTAGCACTAACATCTAGTTTATAAATACCTGGATTTGTACATTTACCTGTCACAAAAAAATCTCCATTATCATCTTCATCAACTTGAGTTTTGTTGGTTTCTCCTGTAGGCTGTGTCCATGTTGCCTTCAGTTGATTTGCATGTATTTCACATTCATTTGTCTTGATCACCTTCACAACAATTGTTTGACCTTGTGTTACATTTCCCATTCCTTTTAATTGTAAACAGTCCGCAACTTCCCTCATTTCTTTAACATTTCCAATATTTTGTTGTAATGAAGCTATTTGATGTTTATTACAAATTTAATTTGTCTTTTATAACATGGCTGTGTTTTTGGCAGTTCTTTGATTCTGTCATTCAATGCTGTAGTTATTGTTTCACTTGATTGTAGCACTGTTACTTCATTATTATTCTTCAATAACTGATTGAGAAAACTAACTTTTATATTAAAATCAGTTATCGTTGCTCTCAATTCACTAATGTGTACATCATTTACTTTTTTTTTCTCTATGTAGATTGCCTCTACCTCATTTTTCATTTTATCTCCATTCTCCTTGATTTCCTTGACCATTACTTGTACATGATTGTCAATATCTCTCAAACTTGTATCTTTACTTTGTTCTAATTTTGTAGCATAGTGAATGGAAGCTTTAAGTCCATCTTTTAATTGGTTTTCACAATGAAAAGCAGCTTTCTCTAATTTTTTAGCTGTTTCTTTAAATGTTTGGAATGCTTGTGAGATACTGATTGGTTTGTGTTTGCCTCCCCATGCCGTGTGATCTAAAACTGCACAATTTATACAAATTGGAGTTTTAAATTCTGTGCAGTAGAACTCCAAAGGTTTGTTGTGAAGTGAACACAGCGGTTGATGTAATGCAGCAAAGTCTTGTGGAGCCATTGATCGTACATCCTCCACTGTATGCAGCTTGTGATTTGCTGTTACAGGCAATATTTTGTGATAGTCACTACAAGTAGAGCACAAGTAATGTCTACATTCCTGGCAGTAGTATTTTTCCCGCCCTTTAGCACAAACACATTTCATCTCATCTCTTTTGGAAATTTGTTCATTAGTTTGCAATAATTTATTCTGAAATGTATTAGGTGGAAGATTCTGAAGTCCACCTTGTGGAATGGCATATGATTTTGAGCAGGTTGGACATGTCAGCTTACCCTTTGTCTTAACCCAGTCTTCCAGACACGCCAAACAGAAACTATGGAGGCATTTGAGGGACTTAGGATTTTTAAGTCTTTTCATGCAAATAGTACACTCCAGGACATTCTCATCAACAGTTTCCAAAAACTGATTCAATTCACTGGTAGCCATCTTGAACTATTCTATCAACATTAAATTAAAAATAAGAAAATTAATATTATGAGTTTTTTTTCATCGAATATATAATTTTCATTTTTTTTTTTTTTTCAAATTCAAATAATTTTTATTTCCATTTATAAGAATTCAAGACAATACAAATCGTAATATAACTCAAGACAATACAAAAGGCTATACTATATTTAATAATTATTATTTTTACAATGAAAATGTGGGACATGCATGTACAGATTTTGCTGTGTTGATGGATTTGAAGCAAGGGGTTTCAAAATAAAAAAATTTAAAAAAAATGAAAAAATGAATGGAGACATCACACTGGTTGACTGCAGAAGATGATTTACGGTACCAAATCCCTAGCCATTGCGTTTAAAAATAGCTTTAAAAATATATTTTGATTTTCTAATACCTTGAAATGCAGATACATTTAATATGATATTTAAATTATTTCTTTTTAAACTGATAATTACAAAATTGAATAACTGGAAAAAGCTGCCACCAGGTGCTAAATTAATAGACAAATAAGCTAAAGCTAAAGGTTGAGTAGAGGCCTTGATAATGATAAGACAACTACATTTGTGCTAGGCCTAGGCTAGGTCTTATAACCAGTCAATGACTCACCTTAGTCTTTAATATCAACTAGTGCATAAAAAAACACAGCATCATCAGTAGTCTTGGACGACCATTCCCCCATTCCGTTATTTTTAATTTGAAGACCTTGAAAATCATTAAAAAATACCCCTCAGAAGTTGAGAAAGCTCATTTCTGGCCATTCTCAGAATCAAAATTATCCGTGACCTGCTTTTTGTTTTGTTTTTTTTATTTTGAATCTCCTTGCTTCAAATCCTAGATCTGTTCCTGCTACAAGTAAGTCTGCTACCGATGATGCTGCTTTTTTATGCACACATTAAAGTTCTGGTTAAGACCTAGACCTAGCCCAAGTGTAGTTGGCAAGAAAGCAGGCTCACAGCAAGCGATTTTACAGTACCTTTAGCAAACGGAAGTTAGGATACAATACTGTATCTCTAGCCACAGAGATTTTTAAAGGTACAAATTGGTTATTTTGGCTAGATCTTTTCTGAATTATATGTATTGCATAGCGCTATGATAATTTTGTTGAAATGAGGTGTATATCCACACTAGACCTATTACAGATTATTTAAAAATACAAGTTAATCTAACCTGTTACAATTGTCCCAGTTGATCTGACGTTGTATGTGGAACTCTGACAGAAGTGGTATGGGTTTTTCCAGAATTAGATACATAATCATGTGACCTGACACTGTCATGGTCATTGTGTGCAATCACTGGACCATTCATTTGCAACGAAGATGTATTTATTCATGGAAGAAAAACATTGTACCATAAAAGTCCAATTGAATATATAGAGGTTGGCTGACAGATATTATATTTTCTTTCAAATAGTGTGTCCTTTGTGTCTACCAATTACTATAGTTTAGCTGTTTTCTCATCCATCACATTATAAATATATATATATTAATACTTGCGGTACACCACATAGATGGTTCTGAAAAGAACTGTTGTTGTTAATTGAGGTTATCTTATAGTTAGTCATCAACATGTAAATATTCCCCAAATTACATAACCATAAATTGAAATATTTGCAGGACGTGTACCTCCAGTTTGCTTACCTTTGCTGAACAACATTAACTACACCCGTGTCCTCAAGAACTGTTAACACACTTGTAAGGAACACCGTTATATCAGCAGTATAACTGATAAGTACTGTACAGGCAACGTGTAAGGAAAGAAATGACTATGACGGATAAAAGGACGTCAGAGCACAAGGAACAACAATTGACAGTCCACCAAAGTCCAGATGAGAAAACGAGAGATTGACATGAAGGATTCCTGCACTCAAGGAGCGGAAACATAATGGAGAATCAGAAGAAAGATAGCCCAACCTACAGTTTCAGGAAAAGACCGAAACAGGTTCGTCATTGGAGTAATTGGGTCTAGACTAGTTGACCCAACTGAGAGGAATAAAACCTGTGAATAGGATTTAGAAAGTTACCAAGATATCATAAATTTGACTCTGACTTTTGGTTTTCTTTTCGTGTTGTGTATGGCCAAACAGGTTTGTCATTGGAGTAATTAAATTTGTTGCCTCCAATCTATTTTCTCCTGGCTGTTTTCTCTGGTATTTTCCTCCTGGGAGGAAACATTTCCTTTGGGACCTCTCTGGAAATAAATCTGGGTTAAGATTTATAGAAGAAAGCACAGGATTGGTCCTTTTAGGGTTTGTTGGTGCTGCACCTTTGTGGCTTTAGAGGGTTACTATCCAGTTATAACTATGGACTGTGCCTATTGGTTTTCTTTTTGTTGTTTTTCTTGTTTTATGACATCAAATAATTCAAATCAATATGCATAAAAATTAAATTGTGCATGCATAATGTTCAAACATTGACGCTTTGCGCTAATAAATGCATCTATAGGAAAACAAGCTTTAACATTTGTATTAATTCTTCATTTAGGAATTGCAACAAACTTCTGCTATTACCGAGAATTCCAGCAAAAGTGCTGTCACATCTAATCAGAAGTTGTCAGACGATGGTGAGTGTATGCTGGATCAGAGGAAAGAGAGCCCAACCAATAGCTTCAGGAAAGACCTAAACAGGTTTGTCATTTGGGTAATTTTCTTTAAGGAGGAATTGAGTCTATAGACTTGTTGCCTCCCAGCTATCTTTCCATGGTACCATAAATCTTGTGTTAGGATCGTAACTTTTAGTTTTTTGTTTTATTTTTTATTTTGTAATTACTAATAATATTATGTTAGATTTATATAGCGCTTAACACCAACAAGGCCTCTAAGCGCTTCATATTACTACCTGTAATTGGACCTGGGGAACCGGGGCGCCCTATATTCCAAATGAGTATAACCAAGGAACGCAAACACTTGAGTACAGATACTTCTTTGTTTTATTCCAAAGCGGTAAAACTGTAATTCAATCATAGAAACAACAATTACAAACAACAGATTCAAAGATATGCAAACATCAAAAGAAGAACTTATCATGTTGCTTTAACAATGTTATACAGCACTGCAATAGATGCAGTGTCACAAAGTATTGTGTATTAAATTCTCAGTTCACTAGACACAGAAGGTGTCAGCCATTTACATCAAGACATCTTCAAAGTACAGTTTGGTGTATCATAAATCTTTCAATACAATTAAGGCCTTAAGGGTCAAAGGTTACCGTATATTAATATATATATATACTATATAATATATATTATACAAAACAAACTTACAGAGTGTAATCCCACATAACTCAGATTCAATCCGAACAATATTGCTGCAGGTAGCAAATCTCTCGTATATTGTATATCAAAAAAAAAAAAAATTAGACAATTGAGCTATCCTTAGACAGGAGCTATCATTGCCCAAAAACTAAGACTCATACATAATTTTAACTTATACAGTACATAGATTATTATGGTATTTTAGGCTTAGCATACTGCATAATGGTAGACTTGAATCATACATGTCATAAAGTTTAAAACAACGCTAGGCTAAAAACAACTAACTTTCTGCATAATAGGTTAAATTTGACAGCTAGTAACAACAATTTGACATGATTACACCTCGAATACAAGAACTTGCGGTAACTGTGCCGAGTCAACTAAAGTGAACGCTGAGTCAACTAAAGAGGACGCTGGTCCAAAACAAAGGCCTCTCGCGAACAGCATTACCCGTCATTGGATTAAACACCATTGGAACACAAACTCAAGCTCCCTGGGGGAGTACTCCATAAAGTTGCAGCAGCTACATCAGTGCATTTTAATTTATTACAGTAATAATACTTCTATAAAAATGAACTGTCAGTAACCAAAGTAAACAGAAAAGATAATATAAAATCTCAAATTATAAGCATAGAAATGATTTAAATAAACCCCCAACATTAAGATTTTATTTGATTTATATTACATTAACACTTTTACAATACATTTGTAAAATAATATTTTTATTTAATTAGTGGGGTCGAGTGATCGAATCCACTGCACCACAACATGAACATGTTATTTGATTTGTTTTCATACCAACATTTTCACAATACAATGATATAGTGTGAAAATTTATATATTTATAGAATTTAGTCGACAGAATCACATCCTACGCACCCCTTGAGGACAAAAAAGCAAGTGGGGGAAACAATTTCCATCACTACTAAATACCTGTATTTTGTGTTCACTTGATATAATAATGTTGTCATCCTGATCAACTACTACTCCACATGGTCTCATCACCTTGCCATTTTCATCACCTGCTTTGACAAGGACTTTCATGAACCGTCAAATAGTTGTAATCTGTTGTTGAATGAATCTAATACAAGAACATTTCTTTGATTAGTAAGGGAAATGTCATTAACTGCTTTGACTTGACCTTCTTGATTACCCCAAGTCCCTATGCTCCTGATCTTCTGCCCAGTATCAATGTTGTATACCGACACACTCGAAATAATTCCTACATACACAATATTTGATGCCTCATCCACATGGATACCATGTGGAATTATTTTTTCCTTACCAAAGGATTTGATCAGCTGACCATTCATATTACATATTGTGATGCATTTATTACCATAATCACTGAATACTATGTTACCATTCTTCATTTTGTACATTCTGTAGACACCTTGTGATAGTGTAAGCTTACCAATATATTCTTCTGATTGTTGGTATTTGAGTATACCAACATTTTCACAATACAGTGATATAGTGTGAAAATTTATATATTTATAGAATTTAGTCGACGGAATCACATCCTGCAGTATGCACCCCTTGAAGACAACAAAGCAAGTGGGGGAAACAGATTATACTTTAATAATTAAATATTTTTATTGTTTTGTCACCTCCGTTTGTTACTGCAACTTTTCGTGGATGATATGAAATGATGGATATTCCCCATGGATCTTTGATTCCATCTTCTTCTTTATCAATTCTTTTGATAAAATTTCCATCACTACTAAATACCTGTATTTTGTGTTCACTAGATATAATAATGTTGTCATCCTGATCAACTACTACTCCGCGTGGTCTCACAATACCATTTTCTCTGACAAGTACTTTCATGAACCGTCCCTCATTATCAAATAGTTGTAATCTGTTGTTGCATGAGTCTAATACAAGAACATTTCTTTGATTAGTAAGGGTAATGTCAAAAACTCCTCTAACTTGACCTTCTTGATTACCCCTAGTCCCTATGCTCATGATCTTCTGCCCACTATCAATGTTGTATAGCAATATACTTGACGTAAATCCTACATACACAATATTTGATGCCTCATCCACATGGATACTATGCGGAAACATTACATACTTATTAAAGGATTCGATGTGCTGACCATCTATTTTAATTATTGTGTTGCATTTTCTACCCCAATCATTAAATGCTATGTTACCATTCTTCATTTTATACATTCTTTGGACTTTGACACTTCGTGGTAGTGTAAGCTTACCAATATATTCTCCTGATTGCTTGTATTTGAGTATTTCATTTTTTAAACATGAAACCAACAAGTGATCATCTTCACACTTAACTACATCTACAAATGTTTCTTGATTTGGTATTTCAATGGTATTTACTAATCCTTCTTTCTCTACATTGATTACCACCGGTGACAGTCTAATTGATTCACCATCAGCACTAACATCTAGCGTACAAGTACCTGGACTGGTACATTTACCGGTCACAAAATAATCTCCATTATCATCTTCATCAACTTGAGTTTTGTTGGTTTCTCCTGTAGGCTGTGTCCATGTTGCCTTCAGTTGATTTGCATGTATTTCACATTCATTTGTCTTGATCACCTTCACAACAATTGTTTGACCTTGTGTTACAGTTCCCATTCCTTTTAATTGTAAGCAGTCTGCTGCCCTCACAAATGTAACATTTCCAATATTGCATTGTTGTAATGAAGCAATTTGATGTTTATTTATTAAAAATTTAATTTGTCTGTTATCACTTGGCTGTGTTTTTGGCATATCATTTATCCTGTCGTTTAGTGCTGTATTTATTGTTTCACTTGACTGCACTGCTGTTGCTTCATCACTCTTCAATAACTGATTAAGAAAACTCAGTTTTTTTTTTAAATCAGATATTGTTGCTGTCAATTCATTGATTTGTTCATCATTTACCTTCTTTTTCTCTGTGTAGATTGTCTCTACCTCATTTTTCATTTTGTCTCCTTTATCCTTGATTATCTTGACCATTACTTGTACATGATTGTCAATATCTCTCAAACTTGTATCTTTACTTTGTTGTAATTTTGTAGCATATTGATTGACCGCTTTAAGTCCATCTTGTAATTGGTTTTCACAATGATAAGCAGCTTCCTTCAATTTTTCAGCCATTTCTTTAAATGCTTGGAATGCTTGTGAAATACTGATTGGTTTGTGCTTTCCATCCCTGTGATCCATAACTGTACAGTTTATACAGATTGGAGTTTTACAATCTGTGCAGTAGAACTCCAGAGGTTTGTTGTGAAGTGAACACAGCAGTGGATTTAAAGCAGAAAAGTCTTGTAGAGTCATTGATCGCACGTCCTCCACTGTATGCAGCTTGTGATTTGCTGTTATAGGCAATATTTTGTGATGGTCACTACAAGTAGAGCACAAGTAATGTCTACATTCTTGGCAGTAGTATTTTGCCTGCAGGCCTTTTGCACAAACACATTTCATCTCATCTCTTTTGGAAATTTGTTCAATTGTTTCCAATAAGTTATTCAGAAATGTATTAGGTGGAAGCTTCTGAAGTCCACCTTGTGGAATGGCATATGATTTTGAGCAGGTTGGACATGTCAGCTTACCCTTTGTCTTAACCCAGTCTTCCAGACACGCCAAACAGAAACTATGGAAGCAGTTGAGGGATTTAGGATTTTGAAGTCTCTTAAAGCAAATAGTACACTCCAGGACATTCTCATCAACAGTTTCCAAAAACTGATTCAATTCACTGGTAGCCATCCTGAACTATTCCTATCAACATTTGAAGTAATAATAAGAAAATTAATATTACGTTTTATCTTTTTTGATCAAAAATATAATTTACGTCAGATACTGTAACATACAGTACCTTCGGATATAAGGCCTGTACTTTTTACAATCATCCTCAATCAAGGTACAGCAGTACATTACTGATTTTAAGTATTAGGCCATAATATAATTATTTAATAATTATTATTGTTACTAGGGAAAATGTGTTAGTATTTACAATAGTGGGACAGGCACGTATAGATTTTGTGTGTTGATGAACTTCATTTATTCTGTATCAGAAGTGTTTTAATATTGAAAGCAAATTATATAATTTACTGCCCTGCACATTACAATCTTTTCAAACAAGGTACAGCAGTTCATTACTAATGTTGAAATATAGGCCATACTACTGTATTAATATTACTAATATTACTAACAACATGTTAACGTTTACTAATAGTCAGGCAGGCATGTGAAGGTCTTTTTAATGAAATTTATTTAAATATCAGTGGCGTAACAGGCAGTGGCAGGGGGAAGATTGCCCCCCCCCCGACGGTTTTTACCGGGCTGACCAAGCCGTCATACCGGGCTGGGTAAGAAGAGAGAAGAGGAGAGGGGCGTGAAAGAGTAAGAAAGGGGAAAAGAGAAGGAAAGGGAAAAGAAAAAGAGAAGAGAAAAATGAAGACAAAAATAAAAAGGAAGATATAATGACCAGATACCACAACACCCTGCAACCCCTTCTCCACTTCAAAAAGTGTTCATAGAGCCTTTGATTTAAGCCGCCAGATACTCTCCGCAGTGGCCGTAACTAACAAGGGGGAAAAATCCATCAGGGAAATCTTTCCCCACCCCTTGAAGATGCCCTTTTTACCCCTGAAATTGCCTAAAAATCGCAAATTTTGCGCTCTTCATGTGCATTTCTTGTCAAAGTAGGCCAATTCCCTTTAAAAATTGCACATTTTAGGGAGTTTTGATCAATTCCAACAAAATTAGAATGAAAAACACAAAAAATTGCTTGCGCGCTTCGCACGCATTTCTTAGGGTTACAGCTTGTGCTTGCTCTCCTTTGCCTTCTAAACACATAATAGTCCCAAACACAAGAAAGAAAATTTAAGATAGATCGTTTTACCTAAAAGAATGGCCTCAATGTGTAATGATGGTAAAAGAATATGTTTGTAATAAATAAAGCCATAATAAAAATGCTTATATTCAGTTTTTTTTTAAATGTGTGTGACCATATAAGCACTAAACTCAAAAAAAATGCTTCACGCGCATTTTTTAGAGTGAGGACTTGTGCTTGTCCTCCTTTGACTTCTAAGTTAATTGAACACATAATAGTCCCAACTCAAATAGAAAGAACATTTGAGGTAGATCGTTTTACCTAAAAGAAGGGCCTCAATGTGTATTGATGGTGAAAGAATATGTTTGTAATAAATAAAACCATGAAAATGCTTATATTTAGTTTCAACCACAGTCTCTTATACACATCTTAAATATATATATTAATATTAAATATTGAAACACATTATTTATAATGATATTAAAAGTTAAAACCCATTGTCATTGAATCTATTCAAACAGACAACTTCCCCTGATGGATATGGAAGTAAAGAGTTGATGTGAGTAGAATATTTATAGTTATAATCAGCTACAAATTAGTTTTGAGGTACTGTAGCTCTTTATTGAATCGTTAGGGACATGTTTAAAACACAAAATTTTAGCAAGATCTGATAATTCTGTGATACCCAGTGCCAGATCCAGAGGGCTCTGTAGGTTTTATATATATCTTGGTATGTTTGTTCACATTAAAATGAAATATACATAAAATATTGCAAAATTAAGTTGTTAAAATGCTTAACTATTAATATAAAAATTACAGATATAAAAATTGATTACTTTCACAAGATTAATACTGTACTTCAAAAAGTCAAGTAATAAACTAAGTTCAATTAACATCAAAAAGTCGGTCTACAAAATCACATCAAATTATGTATAACAGACAAATCTGGAAACAAGAAACAAAGAAAACAAGACGATTGGGACTAACTGAGGAGCTGATGAAAGGTACAATACAGGGTCCACATGTGTACATTTACACAAACCAAAACGCACGCAACACAACCTACCAATCCACCAATCCGACTCACAACCTGCAACATTCAGCTCAAACTCAAACACACTAGTACACATGTGGGCCCTGGAAGGTAAATTTCAATACAAGTAGAAGAGGGAATATGCGATCTCGGGTGTATATTGCACTAATTCACATTCAAGTATTAAGTAATTTCGTCATGGATGGGAGTGGGCTATTTTTTAATCTATTAGTTTTGCATGTATTCCTGAAATTTGTGTGTATTGTGTAGGCTCATATTTTGCAATATATTTTTAAGAGGAAATCAATCTTTAAATCTTTTGGGCTTTGATGCCTTGTTAGCAAATTTGGTACATAGTAATTCTCTTCAAAGAGAGAGGGGTTCTAGGCCCAGCTCAGTCAGGGCTTCGTCATACGAACTGTAGTCATATCCTAGAATACTTTTACATGCCCTTTTCTGAATCTCTTCAATGGTCTTTGATTGTGAGAGAGTGATTCCAAAATGCCAAACTGGTGCAGCATATTCAAGGACTTGTCTTACATATATCTTAAATATATAAACAAATTTCATTACATTAAACCCACTTTGCTTAAAGATGTAGTACTGTCCCTTGCAAAAAACAAAAAAAAATCATTTTTGAAATTTACTTGCCCATTTTGAAGTAACACAAAAATTATCAACTTGAACATAGAAATTAGTGCATTTAAAAAATGCTTACCCATAAAAAACCATGATTTTACAGTGAAAAAATGATAGAAACACTTCCAGCCACTGGAAGTGTTTTATTATCTTTATTTTATTATCCAGTTAAAAAGTCAGGGAAAACATTTTTTTAATTTAATAATTTCTATGCTCAAGTTAATAATTTGTATGTTACTACAAAATGAGCAAGTCAATTTAAAAATTATTTTTTATGATTTTGGTCATTGTCAAGAGACAGTACATCTTTAAGTGAGCGTAGCATAACAAGTTTCTGATTACCCTTTTTTAACAATAACTTTAGTATTACCTTCCCATTTGAGGTCTTTATCAATGATTAAAACCAAGTAGTTTAACACAGTCAGCAAAGGGAAGCGTTATACCATCTATGTTTATGATCGTACTGAAAACTTGGAGTATCTGACATGTTTATTGTCCATTGCCAAGGTTCCATTGGTAAGGTTGACATAATTTTGAAGGGTGAAGGTTGAGGCCTTGATAATGATATAACAACTATATTTGTGCTAGGCCTAGGTCTTAACCAGTCAATGACTCGCCCTAATTTTTAATATCAACCAGTGCATAAAAAACACAGCATCATCAGTAGTTTTGGACGACCCCTCCCCCTTCCATTTTAAAAAATACTGCAGCTCAAGGAAGATTCAAGGGGGCCAACTATTTTTGTTTTTTTGAATTGAGTAACCTTGAAATTTGAAGAACTTGAAAATCATTAAAAAAGACCCCTCAGAATTTGAGAAAGCTCATTTCTGGCCATTGTCAGATTCGAAATTATCCGTGACCCGCTTTTTGTTTTGTTTTGTTTTTATTTTGAAACTCCTTGCTTCAAATCCTGGATCCGCTCCTGCTACAAGTAAGTCTGCTACTGATGATGCTGCTTTTTTTAAGCACACATTAAAGTTCTGGTTAAGACCAGACCTAGCCCAGGTGTAGTTGGCAAGAAAACAGGCTCACAGCGAGCGATTTTACAGTACCTTAAGCAAACGGAAGTTAGGATACAATACTGTATCTCTAGCCACAGAGATTTTTAAAGGTACAAATTGGTTATTTTGGCTAGATCTTTTCTGTATTATATGTATTGGATAAGCAATACCTACAATAGCGCTATGATAATTTTGTTGAAATGTTCAAGTGTATATCCACACTAGACCTATTGGTAATATCTTACAGATTATTTAAAAATACAAGTTATTCTAACCTGTTACAATTGTCTTCGTTGATCTGACGTTGTATGTGGAACTCTAACAAAAGAGGTTTTTTCCAGAATTTGATACAGTATTTAATCATGTGACCTGACACTGTCTTGGACATTATGTGCAATCACTGGACCATTTATAGGCAGAGAAGCTGCATTTATTCATGGGAAAAAGAATTCATTGTACCATAAAAGTACAACAATTGATTATACAGTATAGGGGTTGGCTGTGTTGTTAACAGATATTATATTTTTTCTTGATTTGCAACCAAAGTATCCTCTCAAATAGTGTGTCCTTTGTGTCTACCAATTATTTCAGCTGTTTTCTCATCCATTTCATTATAAATATTAATGCTTGCAGTACAATACGTATAGTTTTGAAAAAAAAACTGTTGTTCTTAATTGAGATTTCTTGTTATAGTTAGTCATCAGCATGTAAATATTCCCCAAATCACATACAGTAACCATGCATTGAAATATTTGCAGGATGTGTACCTCCAGCTGGCTTACCTTTGCTGAACAACCCGTTTCCTCAAGAAACTATTAACACACTTGTAAGGAACACTGTTATATCAGTAGTATAACTGACAAGTACTGTACACAGTGGCAGTGGCGGCTCTAGGATATAATTTATTGGGGGGAGCTAAGATGTCCGACTGGGAGGTCTAAGTATTTTTGGGTGTAACTATAGTGCGCAGTGTTATCTGAGGGCCGAAGGCCAGAGCCAGATGTGGGTATGGGAGGTGGTGTCCCCTCCTCCCAAAACAACATTTTTTTTTTAAATTGGGACTTCTAGATGGCCGGAAATGGCTGGGATGGGAAAACTAGGTTTGTTTTTTTTTTGGTCCGACTGTCCGATGAGCTTTGGCCGATGGGAGGGCTTGACCAGACCGATAGGGGAAGCGCCCTCACTGGCGTCGCCACTGACTGTACAGGCAACGTGTAAGGAAAGAAATGACTATGACGGATAAAAGGACGTCAGATCACAAGGAACAACAATTGACAGTCCACCAAAGTCCAGATGAGAAAAGGAGAAATTGACATGAAGGATTCCTGCACTCAAGGAGCAGAAACATAATGGAGAATCAGAAGAAAGATGGCCCAACCTATAGTTTCAGGAAAAGACCGAAGCAGGTTCGTCATTGGAGTAATTGGGTCTAGACTGGTTGACTCCCAGCTTTTTTCTGGCTGTTTTCTTTGTTATCTTCCACCTGAGGGGAGAAATTTCCGCTGGTACACCTCTGGAATAAAACCTGTGAATAGGATTTAAAAGGTTACCAAGATATCATAACTTTTGACTCTGCCTTTTAGTTTTCTTTTCGTTTTGTGTATGGCCAAACAGGTTTGTCATTGGAGTAATTTGTTGCCTCCAATCTATTTTCTCCTGGCTGTTTTCTCTGGTATTTTCCTCCTGGGAGGAAAATTTTCCTTTGGGACCTCTTTGGAAATAAATCTGTGTTAAAATTAATAGAAGAAAGCACAGGATTGGTTCTTTTAGGGTTTGTTGGTGCTGTGCTTTTGTGGCTTTAGAGGGTTACTACCCAGTTATAACTATGGACTGTGCCTATTGGTTTTCTTTTTGTTGTTTTCCTGTTTTATAACATCAAATAATTTAAATCAATATGCATGAAAATTAAATTGTGCATGCATAATGTTCAAACATTGACGCTTTGCGCTAATAAATGCATGTATAGTAAACAAGCTTTAACATTTGTATTAATTCTTCATTTAGGAATTGCAACAAACTTCTGCTATTACCCAGAATTCCAGCAAAAGTGCTGTCACATCTAATCAGAAGTTATCAGAAGTTGTCAGAAGATGATGAGTATATGTTGGACCACAGGAAAGAGAACCCAACCAATAGCTTCAGGAAAAGACCAAAACAGGTTTGTCATTTGAGTAATTTTTTATGGAGGAATTGAGTCTAGACTTGTTGCCTCCCAGCTATCTTTCCATGGTACCATAAATCTTGTGTTAGGACTTAGAGGGTTACCCATATTATCGTAACTTTTAGTTTTTTGTTTTTTTTTTTATTTTTTGTATATCAAAATAATTCAAATCATGGATAATTTTCCTGTCATTTTCCCTTTAGAAATTTGTTCCCCACACCCAACATAGCTTGTTGATCAGTGTAAATGATCATTACTGTAGTAATTGTATATTATTATACTGTTGTTAATTGCTAATTAGCGAGTTACTGTTGTTAATTGCTAATTGGCGAGTTGATTGGCCGAGCGGTTAAGTCAGGGGCACCATAAAACCTTCAGCCCGAATATCAGCTCTGGTTCGAACGGCTCACTTGTTCCGGTGGTGGAACAAGTCTTCACAGATAAGGACTTTAAACTGTAGGCCCAGTGTACGCATTTGGCTCATGTGCACTTTATTGAACGCAGTACATCCTTCGAGAAGAGTAGGGGATTACCCCGGTGTACTGGTCCATTATGTCCCCTGTTGTTAAATGGATATGCCATGTAGGACAGAATTAAGTTCACGTATTAGCATATCCTTGGCGCTCGTGCCTAAAAGAAATGAAATAATTCTTTACATTTATGTTCATTAGCAGATCTGGGGGAGGTTCAGGGGACCTGACACCCCCTCCCCTCTCTTGGGCTGCCAATCACAAAAAATTTCTAGACCTACATTATCTGAATCAGGGCCCATGTGAGCTGAAATTTTTTTGGTTACAATATATTAGAAGTCATGAAAGCTCATTTCCAGCCATCTAGGAATCAAAATTTTCACAGGGAAGAGACCCCTGACCCTCTTTCTTTTCGGGGTTCATCGATCTATGGAAAAAAAGCATACGTATGCAACTACTCAAATTTTTTTATGTATGTATACACACATAATAGGCCTATTTACTTTAATAAGAATGAGAAAATTTACCTGACGTTTTCAAGAGGTGTGAAACCTTGACTTTTGAATTGGTCATTAAAAGACTCTGAGAAGTCAGGAAAGCTCATTTTCTGCCATCTAGGAATCAAAATTTTCAAGGGAAAGGGCCCCCGGACCCGCTTTCTTTTTGAGGGTTTGGGAAAACTTTTGAAACCCCCCACTCCTCTAAATTTGAACCCAGATCCACCCCTGTATGTTCATGCTGTTTTCATCATACAGTTGCAGTGAGAAAACAGCATGTACTTATGGGTTAGTTCTGGCTTCTTGCAGGAAGGCTGTTTAATTTCCATAATATTAAGGATTAATAGTTTATAATTTCAGAAATATTTTACATCGGATCATGATGAACCGATTACACAAAAAAAAGCAAAGAAGAATGGATTGCACAGATGAAGAGATTAAGAACCTCATTAGAGTGAGAGAAAAAGGCAAGAACTGGAACGTTCTTTGGAGTTATGAATTTCGACCTGGTCGAAGAACGTGGATCTTAAGGATTAATATAAGGGAGGTTTCGCACATGTGAACGCGTACGGCTAGTGTGAAAGATATGTCATCATTTTGAGGTCATACGCCGGCTGCTGTCCGCTAAACGTATGGACGACGAAATTTTTGATTTCTAGTAGAGTCTTTTATTTTTTCACATTTTACGTAAGTGTAAAAAAAAATGTATCTTTGAATATGTACATGCCATTTTTGTGACATTTGAAGACAGTAAATTACGATAGGATGCGTCTAATTTTGGGGTATCAAAACGTTGGTGCTTTGACCTTGGAGGTGTCAGAATTTTGTGTAGGCCTAGGCCTACTTGTAACCAGGCACTTTTTGGTAACATAAAAGATATCTAACTTTAGTATTTGAAAATGATAACAAACCAGAACTTCTCACTTACAGTATGAAGATTTCTAGCAAGAGCACAAATGAAGCAAGTTGTAACAAAAACTGAAATTCAAGTTTAATTAGTCATTTCAAGCCTTAGTTGTTGGGGAGTAAATGGCAGTAGCACTCTTGGGGTCTAGGTTTAAGATTTGTTTTGATTAATCGCTTTATTCATGCATCCATTTTCTGTAAATACCAAAAAGACGTGAAATAATTCGTTTTTTGACTACTTTCATTTTAGATATTAAACTGTCAATTTATTGTAAAAAAAAAGTATTTCTAGGTCATTATTTAAGCTTCAATATTTTATACCTCAATTATTCAATACTGACCTGCCCTGTATATCAACTTAGTCAATTGGCCACAAGATGGCTCAAATTAACATTACCCACAATAACATGATTTTACTGTCAAATTGCAACTGAAGTACAAAGTTTTGGAAAATAAAAAAATGAATTCTACATTTTGAAGTTTGTAATTTATTCCTTCAAATACCAAACCAAAAAATCGTCCTTTTGAATTCTACTGTACTAAAAAAAATATAGCCCTCTGGTTTAGGAAGCATGAGGAATAAAAAATTCTATTGTTTTTGTTTTAATCCTGGATCTACAATCCCTAAATCCCTAAAACTGATACCAATCGATTGGGTTGTAATGGGGGTATAAAAAACGAAATTATTATAAAACAATTAAAAGTAGCTTAATTGACAAATATACTTTCTTAGAATTCCACATTTTTAGAAATAGAAAATAATTTTGTATTGAGCGTGTTATTATAAAACAATTAAAAGTAGCTTAATTGACAAATATACTTTCTTAGAATTCCACATTTTTAGAAATAGAAAATAATTTTTAATTAAGCTTGTAGGCACATCATGTTCAGTATCCTTATCACAATGAGGAATATAGGTTATATTTTTTTCTGCACCTGTTGCATGCTGCAGTTTTGCACATTGAAAATACTGTAAGCCTACTAGCCTAGCTTGTGTAAACCGAGAGCACCCATAAAGTGTACAGACAACTTACAGTAAAGCCTTTTGTATTGAACTTCAACATGCTGGTGAACCAGTAAATAAATTGGGGAAGGGAAGATTTTTTATTTGTCCCCGACAGCACAGTACTTTGAATGTCTTTGTTCATCTTGTTATGTATCATATTTCTTGGAGGTACTGTATGGATTTTTAAAGCAGTGGGTAAAAAAACAATAGAAAGCTCACAACATGAAAGTTCTTTGGCACTATACTGGACACTATAATGCTCTGTCTCTGTTTTCTGTGTCAAATATCAAACCAAATATGAGCATATTGTAAAGCGCTTCATGCAAACAAGGCTTCTATAGCGCTTCAAGTTATTACCCCCGATCACTGGATCAAACGTATGCAGTTCCATGAGGAGAATCCATATTTTGCACTTGTACACCTGGGTGGAGTGATACAGCCATAGGTAAAGTATCGGACACAAGCGAAATGCGCAGCAAGTTACTGAACCTCCAAGTAACGGAACCGCAAATACTACAGCAAACCACTCCAACAATATCCATGGGCAATTCACAGGTATTTGTAACTGAAAAATTGATAGAGTTGACAGTGATTTTTAGGTAAGTAGTGCACCTAGGAAACTTATTGCTTAACTGAAACAAATGTCAGTATGAAAATATTACTTATGAAATTCTTTCAAATCTAATATAAAAATGTGACCATAAGGTTTAGGAATAAATATATTAGCATCGTAATAGTAATCATAATATTTGCTAATAATAAATATGCAGTAAAGTCGGTTGCTTTCAAAACTGCACAATAAAAAATCTATACACATAAAGATCATCATATACACTTTTTTAAACAAGATAGTGAGAAAAAAATTTTTTTTTAATAACTTAACTTATCTAAACCAAACCAAACATTCTTTAAGTTTTATGTATAAAAAAATATTAACCCCCTATTAAATTTACTTTATTAAATCTGTAATGTGGATTTGACATGGCAGACACTGCTTGATACAAACATTTTACAGTACTTGGCAAACAATGTTTCCAATAGTGGTGGCTCTAGACTCGCCTATAGTAGGGCTTAGGACTGTGTTTCACTGAGTAAATCTCCTTGTAGGGTTAAGCAAAAATGTTATAGGTTTGAAGGTAAAACTTGTGTGCTTTTTTTACCACAATATTTGGAACTGTAATCACGGTAACTTGTTTGATCAGCAAATTATTAGTTTTAGTTCTAATACCTTAGTGGTGGTGGACAATAGGGGGTCATACAGTACGCTTGTCTGAAGGGAAATTTTCCCATGATCATGATGGCACTACCATTGGTTTCTAATACAGAAATTACTTCACAATATCACGCTTTTTGAGTGAGTTAAGTATAAGTTAGGAAGCACACTACTTGTAGGCAAAATCAAAATTGCACAGTATAGAATAAACAGTAGCAAAATGCCCTCCATAATCAGGTAAAGTGTGCATACTTGCATTTTATAAACTCTATAGTTATTGAACATTATTTCTCTTATGTACAGATTGTAATTCTGCTGTAGTACAGTTGAACTTGCCTAAGTCGAATCCAAAATGGCATTGAAATATTGTTTGATAAAATTTGACTTGCAGATCGTTAGTTAATGGAAAACACACAATAATTTGGCATGTAAAATAAGATCGACTTAGGCAACTGTATAATGAATGGACCATTTTTTTAATGCATACAGGACAGTGTTGTTTAGAAACAGCCCCATCTGCATACAGCAGCATCCCCCACTGCCCCTACCCCCCTTATTTAATTATGATGTATAGTAGATATCAATATGCAGCTAGCTTCCAGTTCCTTTGCTTACAGAATGAAATATTATGAATTTTGTGCTTCAAGACCTTACAAGCTTAAAACCATGTCCAGTATTTATGATCTTTGGCGGCAACCACTTCATCTTAATCTTCCGGCAGCAATCCAGACACCAGCAGCAGGAATCGCACTCTATTGAACTAACCACTTGCAAGACCTTAATCAGTGAGTGCGTAATCCGCGGAAAGTTTTGGGTCCAGTAAACCTCGATGTCATCTTCCGTTGGTTTATGAAAAGTAAAATCAACCCAGTTTTTAGAAACACCATAAACTGCTTTTGTTTTCCTACCCTGCTCTGCCCAAGTGATGTCAGCATCTCTGGTGACATTAAATGCTACCCACTCCATTGTGAAATCACCGGTGTTTACAGCGATACCAGTCTCTGGATCTGATTGTCCAATGGAGCAAGTCTGAATGGCAATGAAATCAGTTGAATTTCTTTTGATTTGTTTTAGCCAACCACTGTGATGCTTAGTGTCCAAAATGATGATTAAGCGTGCCCCCGAATCTGCATCGACTTCATGCCACCATGTCAGCAATGTTTCAAATTTCAATACACCATTATCTACATAAAAAGATTAATACTATAATCATTAAGGATTTATAACAATATTTTATTTATACTAGTAATAATACCAGTACCAGTGTTTAAGTTGTCATTAGCCAAATAGCCTAATCCTAATAGAAGCTGGATTTCGCTAAATATTTTCATTAAAAAATTAGCCAAAAAGCTAATAAAATTAAAGCTATAATCCCTTATATGCATGGCACATGATAGAATTGCCAATATATAGACGTAAGCCTACTTTGTTTTTTAAAATTTTATTTATTTCTTTATTGGCTTAAACGGCCCAGGGGCTGCATCAGCAAGTGTGCCATAACACCACAAGTGGTGCCCTCAACCCCTGAAACATAAAACAGTATAAAATTGACTACAGTACAAGTTATTTTTAAAAACAAAATAATTGACTACCTGCTAGAGCCCAGTCACCAGATTGGTACACGTCTCCACTATAGTAAACAAGATAAGTATCAAACCTAGGCCCATCGCTTGTCCTTCGAGACAAGAAGCTCCTCATCTTCGTCTCTAGAGATTCCATGGCAATGCCACCACTTGAAAAGTCGCAACTAAATATGTCAATCATGTGATGGACAAGAAATCGCTGGATACTGTTTAAGATGTTGACTGAGCGACGACTCTGTTCCTCAATGGCATTGGTTGGCAACAACACAGGCGTCCGATCAGATCTGCAGAAAAGAGATGAAATACTATTTAAAATTGTATTCATCATAAAATTACATAAACCTTAATTGCTTCTGATACAAGTTGGTAATCCGGACCAATCTGGTATTCATTTGAAGAAGTTGAGTGGCCAAGTAGTTAATGCAGGGTCATCATAACCCAGAGCCCTAGATTTGAGCCAGTTTAACACCTTCATCGCTTATGGTTCCGGTAGTAAAATTAAATCATGCAATTTCTATAAAAGAAAAACAGAACACCCATAGAGAAGAGTGCGTGGCTACCCCGCTACACTCTTCTTTACCACAAGGAAAAGGTGCTATACTGTACTGTATCTTGTGTACCATTGAACATGAAATTTGTCAAATTTTTACCTATGTATTTTCCGAAAAGATAGTTAATGTTGATGATAATAGTCAAATTACAAATATAAATTAATAAATAATTAAATACAGTTTTGATGTGTTTTCATCAGGGAAACATCACTCTTATAATTACTGTAAATACAGTAGAAACAATAGAATGCAGTACCTGCATAAACCCGATGGTCCTATGACTGCATAGCAACAGCATGTGCCACCTAGCAACCCACCCAACTCCTGGAGTATCCCATGAAACATTACTTCCATTGGTAAAACAATCAGAATACTCGCCATGAAATGTGTATTTGTTGCTTGCCAGGAAGTAGCCCCCAATAACACTGTGCTCAGAAGTACACTTAAGATCATATACTTGGAGATAAGAGCAAAGTAGCGTAGTCCCTTCGATGCCATGACAGTAGATAAATTTGCATTCGTTTCTTGGTTGGTCTTTAATATACTATTGCACTCGCTCAGTTTGTTAGCGAAAGTCCAAGACGTTAGTACGAAGATAACATGCAGGCAAATCCACACTACGCCAAACAGAAAGAAAAGCGGTACTGAAAGGTACCATTCATCGTTTGAAATCATAACGTATCCAGCTGTTTGAAAAAAATATATTTCAATAACTGTGATGCAAATGATAATAAATCGGTGCATATAGCGAGGAAGGCTTATGAAGCAATGCCATCTCTCTAACATGGATAATCCATTGTAGTACAAATCGAAGAATGGATCGCATAATAATCTACCGGTAAAACACAACAATGCCCAATGGCTCAACTTGTCTGCCATTGCTTTGAAAAAAAATAAAACGGATATCGTGTAAAAGATTATAATGCACGGAAGTGAAAATGATACTTTCAGTCTTAACATTATCAACATCAACATGTTCGCAATTACCAACAGCCACATGCTGGTCATGTAATCTGTACCAAGAACACAAGCGATACCAAATCCAAGAAACTCAAATTTCTCAGCCTGGGTGAGTAATCGCGACTTGTACAAGGCATTTCCGGATGCCCGTTGGACAAATGACCAGATTATCTTAATACCAAGGCTCGATATCAACAGGATATTTGTCACCATTGTCGGTCTGTCTTCATCAAAACTACTGTGATTGAAAAATGCAATCATTCCAAGAAGACAGCCAAACCAGAGATGGCTAAAGCTTTCACTTATGTCTTTCAAGTTGAAATAATAGTAGAAGATGCTGCATAAGGAAAAGATGAGTAAACCGAAGATGATGATGACAATGATGATGATGCTGTTTGTATGGTACCAACTGGAGTAAAGTCCGGCACATACTGCTAAGAGGAGGACAGCTATGTCGATAACTCCAAGCAGATGTATGTTGCATTTGAGTTTACTCTTCATTTTATTGATGCCCTCAACCGGAATTACAAGCAGATGGCTGGTGACGTAGCGGAGTGAATGCATTGGGTTCTGAAGGATGTACTAACACCTTGTCATAACAGGTTGGAGAATTTGGGTCTTTGTCCTTAAATTCATAATTCCAATGTACTGAAATAAAAAAAAAATAAAAAAATGTTTATCATCATCATTACTATGAAATCACCTATCATCGATTACATACATCCCTCCCATGCATACGTAATGTATAATTAATGTAGGCCTACAGTATATAGCCTATGTATACCAACAAATACATAAATTGGCATCATAACCATACTGCAGTGCTACACTATATAATTATAATGCACAACAGGTCTAGGCTAGCAGACTAGGGCCTAACGTATTTTAGCTATTTATTTCAACAATCTTTAATGAGAGTGGTCCATCCAGCCGAAGCTGATCATTAATTAGGGACCCTCAATACACATAGTAAAACAAAACAAAAGAGTATTTTACAGTAAAATAAATAACAATCTCAAATTCAAAATTTACATAAAGAATTAATTCAAAATTAAATAAAAACTTAATATAAAAATTAAAATTAGCTATTTATGCCTGGTATAGATAAGTGGTACACTCGGGCATTGGAGATGCACAAAAAAAGAACAATTAGAATTAGGCCTAGCCTAAATAGAAAATAGGCCTTCTTTCTAGGTAGGCCTAGGCCCCTAGTCTAACATTAATATTATTATTATACAGAATTGAACTTTCCTAGCCTCCCCAGGCCTAAATAATAATAATTAATAATATACGCTGATACATGCAATTCAATATACTGGCACTCTTTTTGGCAGCGACAGCAATGTATCATTCTAAGATTGGCCCCTGGCTAGGCTCTTGCCCTTGTCGTCATTACGACTGGTGACACTGGGAATCGAGATGTTTGGCTAGGGTAGGCGGCGGCAGGCCTTGCCTAGCTAGGGTCTAAGCTAGCCTAAATCGGAGGCCAGAAACTCATCTAATGTGAACCAACCAACGTAAATAGCTAATCAGAAAATTGTATTGAATATCTTATACTCACACCAACAATGAAATAAACTATAATTTTAAGTTATTTAATAAAAATATAATACTAATTTTAACTTCAAACGCTGGTCTCTCGATTAATATTATTGTTGTTGTCGATTCAGCATTGTTGTATGAGACGCCAAAGGGGCCTTTTGGAATGTTATTGTTGGTTGTCGATTCGCGATTCTGTATATTGTTATGAGACACCAAAAAAGCACTATTGTTAAACTACATTTTAGTTTAAGGAGCCATTTCCGCCATATCTAACTTGAATTATCCGCCTCTTTATTACGGCTAGGCTTATAAAGCCTTTTTAACCCAACTTGCAGGTCGATTTGGTTTTTTTTTTTTTTTTTTTTTTTTTTTTTTTTTTTTTTTTTTTTTTTTTTTTTTTTTTTTAATTTATATATCAATGGTATGCTCTCTGGACTTTGTTCCAAATATTTATTATAAAAAGAAACTGTTTCTTATGTTCAAATTGAGCTCTGTGCTAGTTCGTAACTTTAAACTTGTTTCCCAACTATGTCGGGGTTTCAATCCGTTTTTGCTGTGGCATTTCGTTTGTCCTTGCAAGGCACTTTACCTACCTTGCTTCTCTCTCCTGGGTGGAGAGAGAAGCAAGGCACTTTACCTACTAATTGCTTCTCTCTCCACCCAGGAATTTAAATGGGTAACCTGGTGGTGTGGTTGCCTGCCCCTGCGTTGATTATACAGCAGTGATACTTAAGCATACAGATCCAATGACCGCGGGGTCAAAAGCGCTTCGTATATATCTGCAAAGAGAGGAACTATATAAATATTAAACTAGATATTAATATTACTAAAAAGGACAAGATTGTTCTGAAAATTGATTATTATTGCGCTGCCTAATTGCATCATGGAATACAATTCCATGATGCAATTCCCCGTCAGGAAAAGAGCAGTGGCGGCGCCAGCGGGGATAAACAGAGGCTGAAGTCCCTGACCAGACATGTGAAGCACCCCCCCCCCCCCACACATTTGACAGAGCTCATAGTAAAAAAGATACAAAAATAGGCCCACGCCAAGCCAACACAATGTCTGTCAGTCTGAGAGTGTCATTTCTGGCCATCCAGAGGTTCCTATTCCTAACAAAAATCTCCCTCCCCAACCCTTCCCCCAGCTCAGGCCTACAAGCTCAAGTCCTCCTGTCAGACAGGAATTGTGAATAAATAACCACAGAAAATATATCCACTGGAAGAGAGCTGCACCCGTCGGGGAGAATACAAATTTATATGTATTATTAGTAGACGCTAAAATCGATTAAATAGGGCTTTAAACACCTAAATTGTCATATCTTTTTGGGGCTTCACTTTCCAAATGTATTAATTATTTTGAAAACTTGCGAACGATCAGCTATGTCTAGGAGACGTATGACAGGCCTAATTAGAGATTATTTATTAGACATGTTTGCAGACCCAGAAAACCCTCAGTCTCTCCTTTTCACTCGCCTTCTTACAAATTTACATTCCCCTTACACAACAATTTGTTTACAGCTAGCTTCGTCACTTTGAATGACATACTCTTTGTTGACAAACATGAAAAATAAATGTTGTCCTCTGCAACGATTCATCTTTATTTAGAAGATAATTTATGAATTAATTTAACAAAAATTGTCTAGCACACTTAGTAGCTTGGGGTGCTCTATCCATCCGAATACTTTGCAACCAGTGGTGGCGCCAGAGGCGGGGGGATGAGGGGGTTATATTCCTCTCGTTGGGGGAAGACTAGCTCCCCCCCCCCCGTCGATGAAGACGAGTACATTCCGTGTCAGGGAATAAAAAAAAAAATTAAAAATATTTTTAAAAAAT